CCACCGGAAGAGGGTGTTATGCGGATTTGCTCACATATGCATAAAATACGGGAGGGGAATCTGAGAGGATGACCCTGTGGAGGGAGGCAGTAGGAGGAAGACTTCTCTCTGGGGATCTTCAGAATGCTTGGAATTTGAGCCATGTAAAGATATTACTGATTCAAAGGAGAATAAAATTAGGTACACTGGAAAGCAGGTTGCAGAGGGAGGATGAAGTCATGGGGGGTAGGGGGGCTGAGATGAGACTTCTTGTAGCTTTTGGATTTGGAGCTCTGCTGGACGTCTTTGGGGTTAGACCTATGCAAATATTGAGGCCAGACCCCATTGTTCCGAGGTGGAGACTGAGGCTCCAGGAGGAAGAGGATAGAGCCAATTCCTGCAAACTCACAACTTTTGTCTCTTGTGTGTGTGCTTCAAATACAGAAGAGAGGTGGGCTCACTTAACAAGGAGGGCTAATCTGGGCCAATGCCTAGTGGGTTGGCCTCATGCCTCACTTCTCCCCTCTCCCTCTCTTTCTGGAATTCTCCCTGGGAGGCCTGGAGGCTTGGAACCTGGTTTGGCAACTGCTCGGCTGGGAAGGGGAGCTGGGCTGGCCAGAGAAGGCTTTACGGAAACACAGTTTTGGGGGGTGAACACTTGGCTGCCCAGTGGGCAAGAAGCCAAGGAAGGGGCAGCCCGGGTGGCCCAGCGGTTTAGCACCGCCTTCAGCCCGGGTCGCGATCCTGGAGACCCAGGGAGTCCCACTTCGGGCTTCCTGCGTGGAGCCTGCTTCTCCCTCTGCCTGTGTCTCTGCCTATATGTGTCTTGTGAATAAATAAATCTTTAAAAAAAGAAAAGCTTAGGAAGATAGCAGCCTACAAACTTTGGAGACATCCTAAATCTCTGGGGGTCAGCCAGCCTCCCCCAGAAAACCACAGTATTTCTATTGCTTTAGAGGCAGTGGGGTAAGCCCCACCATCTGACCCGCCAGCTCCAAGGTTGGTGCGCCCCTAGACATAAACCCACATTGAACATTTCAGCTGCATTCCTGCAGAGGCCGCACGCACGTCCTCTTCCATCCCTACTCTCCTTCACCGTGAGCACCTCCAGGATCTGGATAGGGCCTGCCTCAAAAATACCTGCCCACACCCCCTAGCCTTTTCTCTGCCCACCTAAGGAAGGGGCTTCACAATTTATCAAGGCCCAAGTACAGGCACAGGCTACCTGTTTGCCCTCTCCCTTCCCATGTGCTTTATCCCCAAGGCCTGGGTCTGTGAGATGCTACTGTCAACCTCCAGATGCAGGGAATGTGTAGGAAGGACATCTGGTGAATCCCTTTATTTCAGAGGGGGAGAGTGGGGCCTGCAGTGGAGCAGGGCAGTGGCACTTGACTCTTAACCACTCTGGGATCAAGCTCCCAGAAGTGGTGGATACAGGGGAGGCAGGTGGAGGCAGGTGTCCCTCCTGAGGCTGGAGGCAGTGGGGTCTCTGCAATGAAGGCATGGGTGGGGGGGCCATGACAGAGTGGCAGGCTGGGGAAAGCCTGCACTGCTGGGCTCCCCAGAAAAGACCACCTCTGAGAGGCTCCAGTGGCAAGGGCCCAAGTCACAGGGCCGGGTGCAGCAGCCTCCTGATGCCCACAGGCTGCTGGGGGATACAGGAAGAGAAACCCCAGCTCACAAGGCCTGGGCTGAAGCAGAGGGGCCTTGCCGTCATCCTGCACTGGGAGGCCGCAGGGAGGGCTTCCCAGGGCATGGCGTGGCGCTCAAAGTGAGCAGGTGGGAGATAGGCAATCCATGCGGAACAGCACCCACAAGGGGAGGAGCGAGGCCGTCAGGGCCAGCCTTCTCAAAAATAGTGGTTGTGAGGACAGGAGGATCTTCACTGGCAGATGACATGGTACCTACCACTGGATGGGATAGCAGGTGGCGTCTGTGCCCCCACCACCGTCTGTTCCACGCCTCACTTTCAGGTGTTATTTGGAAATAAGTTTCTGCAGCTTTTTTGCAAGGTTGCCCTGGGGCAGCCACTAGGGTTTAAGGAAGGGACAGGCTCTTTAATGGGCACTGGGGCCCGCGCTTTGGAATCAATGGGGCTGCCACAGTATGACTGCGCTGGGTAGCAGGATGTGGCTTGAATGGGATGCAGCAGCACCCTTCCTTGGCATAAGGGGCATTACTGGTTCCAGGGGACTTGGGCACATGGTGGGCAGAGCTAACGAGTGGGTTCCTGACTCACAGATGTCCTGTCTTTCCCATGGATTCCAAGGAGCCACTGCCTTGAAGCCAGGGGCTTCAGAGCCTGACACTCTCCGGTTTCTTGGGGAGCAGCAAGCCATGCTCAGCTCTCCTGTGGGCTTCCACCTTCCCAAGCAGAGCAGGAGGTCTCCCTTCGGCCCTGGAAGACCTTTACTGCTCATGGGAATAGTAGTAAAGGACTCAGTAGACTGAATCCTAACTCCGGGTCCTGAGGGTGAGTGTGGCTGAGTCCTGGGAGGTGGCCAGCCCAGCACTGACACAGCTGGGGAAGCTGGGGTCAGTGTCCTCATCTGTGAAATGAGGGAGTTGGGCTAGTTACTGGTGAAGACCCATGCCCCTGGTTCTGACCATGCGTGGTACCCATCGATCTGTGAGATAGACACCAAGAGCAGACCTGTATGCAGCACAGAGGAAAGAGGTTGTGTTGGGAACCAGGGCACAAGGGTCACACAGGAGCTGAGGGGGTTGTGACAAAGGCCAGGGCTGGGGTGGCAGCAGCTGGTGCTCAGATCCATGAAAGAGGCCTCAGCTCACAGACTTTCTGGCTTTTGTAGGAGCCATGTCACCATCTCCCTGGCATGGACACCGGTGTGGGGTTCAACAGCCCTCTCACCGAAGGTGCTGGAAGCAAGATCCTGAGAGATCTTTGTGGAAGAGGAGCACCCCACCCCATTCCCAAAGATGGGCAACAACCTTACAGATTCCCTTGAGCTAACTCTCCTTCCTCTTTCAAAACGTGACCCAATCCTCACTACTGTTCTTCTGGAAATAAATCCTTGCTGCCTAGGCCTCAGTTGACATGGGGTGGAAGGGGAGGGTACCCACCCTGCCTCCAGGACCTAGACCTGAGAAGCAGAGCAGTTCTTAGGCATCTTGACTAGCAAGCTGGTAGGCAAGAGTGGACTACCCCCAGAGCACAAAGTGCCAACCATCACGTGACAGAAAAGAGGGAGGGAGGGCGTGGATCTGTGCGTCAAGTGCCAGATGACTGGGCTCCATAGCCTTGGGGCTGAGTTGTTCTGAAGTTGTCATAATCAGAGGAGAAGTGTGACTTATCCTCTGCTTCAAGCCTGGGATAGGCACCAGGAACTTCCTGCCCCTGCCTGCCAGGTGTTCACGGTGACGCCACAGAGATGACTTGTGTAGGGATAGTGGGTGTTATGGGGCTACAGCACTGGCAGGAATCTCAAGGAAGGAATTTGTGGCCTCTGCAGGCCTCAGGCCTCTGTACACACACAAGACAGCCCTTGTCACTGTCCGTAGCTCAAATGCAGTCCTGTTGTTCCCCACTCCCAATGTCAGAAGGGCAGTAACAGCCTCCAGAGGCTCGGCCCAGACAGCAACCCTTTCCCCTAGAGCCCCTCAGCTTTCAAAAGCAAATTCACTTAAATTCCACATTATTTAAAAAGTCCTCTTCTAAGATAATCTGGCCTATGTAGAGGCTAAGAAACAAAGAGCAAGGGATCTCAAAGGTACAGAGCCAGCAGGAGTCCAGAGGTGAGGCCTCATCTCTCCTGAGAGCCCAGGAATGGGGTTCATGTGGTCAGAAGACCGCCCCCCCCCCCCGGCCCCCTGTGCAAGCAGATGAAATGAACACGACTGACTTATCCCACAGGTCAGGCCCTGCAGGAAGGGTGGAGCTGGTCCTTCCCTTTAGCCAAGACACAGGTGCTGGCCCTGGCTAACTAGGGCCAGCTCCAGGCACATGAATTCCTAGTGCTAGTGGCTGGGTCTCACTTGGAAGGAGCTGCTGCCAGGGCGCATGGAGTGTCTCACACTGCGGGCTACGAATGGATTGTAGCCCAAAGGCACCTGCTCTGGGAAGCAACATGGCAGCTGAGGTCCCCACAGCCCAAGCATATGGGCAGAGAAACTGCCCACTGTCCTAACCTCACCCCCACAAGGGAGGCCCTGCCCTGGGCGGGAGGGATCCTAGTTAAGACTCCAGTCACATTTGCCCTTGATACTGATGTTGTTGTTGGCGGTGCCTGCAGGGCCAGGACCCACAATATCCTAGCAGCTACTATCTCACAAGAATGGCAGCAAAACTAAAGGACAGGTGTTGTTGCTGGTAACTGCTGTGGTGGAGACCTGGGTGCCCGAAAATAGTGGAGCCCAGGCACTGATTCGGGGGCAGACAGGGCAGTGTAACCAAGGACTCTGCCTCCTGTGCACCTTCCCATCCCCAACCTGAAAACTGTCCCCAAGTTCCAGAACAAGGGGGCTTTCCAGGTCAAGAAACTAGGGCACCAGCCCAGCAGGGCTTTACCCTACCACACCAGGGGGTAGAGGGGGGAGGCTTTCTCTCCCCAGAGCACCCTTTGCCAATCTGGAAGATGGGAAGAAGGTGGGGCTGAAAGGTCCAGCCCCACCTGACCCTCCAACCCCTCAGACCAATCAGACTCATCCCCACCTCTCCCTCCCACTCCTCCCACCAGCCCAGCCCACGTGGTGGCCCTGCCCCTGTTGGCGGGAATGGATTGAACTCTGGGTTCCGGCCAAGGGCAGAGTCACGAACCTGCCCTGGGAGGGCAAATGCTGAGTGGGAAGCTCTGATTTGATTGGAATCTTATTCCTGGGTCTGTGGCCTCGGGCAGGATGCCAATCAAGGCTGCGGCCTCTGCTGGGGCACAGGAGGGAAAGGCTGGGCAAAGGGACTCTTAACAGTAGATGCCGAGGGGCCACCCCTCCCGGCCTCGGTTCCCGGGTCAGTGGCCCGGCCCTGCATCCACTCCTCTGCAAGCCAAGGAAGCCCAAGGCAGTCGCGGCCTCCAAACCGTTTATTGGTCCCGCCTTGGAGGTGGGGTCGCTGGGGGCGGGGCGGACACAAGGCTGCGGGGAGCGGGGCCTGACGGAAGCGGGTCCGGCGGGCGCGGGGCTCAGGCGAAAGTGGAGCCGTTCCAGCCCACGTTGGCCGCGTTCATGTCGTAGTAGTTGATGTAGATCCTGCGGGGCGTGGAGGCGGGGCTCAGCGGGCAGCGTCCTGGCCGGCGCGGGCCCGCGCGCCCCCCCCCGCCGGGGCGCCCCGCCCCCCGCCGCCCCCGCCGCCCCGCCGCCCACGCACCTATCCGGGCTGACGCGCAGGCGCTCGGCCAGCAGGCCGCACAGCAGCTTGCTGTAGGCGCGGTTCTGCGCGCCTCCGATCTTGCCGATGCTGTGCAGGCTGCAGAGCGCGCACGGCTCGCTGGAGCCGCCGAAGGCCATGAGCTGGTCCGGGACCACGTGCACCGCGATGTACTGCGGGGACACGGGGTGCGGTCAGGCGGCCCGGGCAGCTCGCCGGGCCTTCCCCGCCCAGGGCCTCAACCCTGGTCGCCTCCCCGCCCCCCAGCCCGGACCCCCTCGTCCGCCCGGCAGCGCCCCCCCTTGCTCCCTCCCGGCAGACCTGCGCCGGCTTGCCGGTGGCCTGCGCCAGCTGCTGAGTGAGCTCGGAAAGGAGCCCGTCCGGCACGGAGGCGCGGGGGACGTTGGTGTTCACCACGAACATCGGCATCCTGGCGGACGAATGGCGGGGACCGGGCCCGGGAACCGACCGACGCGCGCGCGGCTGCAGCCCGGGAACCTGCGCTACGTGACCGCCGCGCCGAGCTGCCCCCTAGCGCGGAGCGGCCCCGCCTCCTGTGACGCCGCCGCCGGCGAAGGCCCCGCCCCCGCACGACCTCCAGCCCCGCCCGGTGACGTCACCACCCGTCGAGGCCCAGCCCCGCGCGCCCGCGGCTGCCTCCCGCTGGTGACGTCATCGCCCGCGGCTTCTTCGCCTTCTTGGCGGGATCTGCCTTTCTTATGTTATGTTATGTTATTTTATTTTATTTTATATTTTATTTTTTAATAAATTAATTTTTATTGGTGTTCAGTTTACCAACATACAGAATAACACCCAGTGCTCATCCCGTCAAGTGTCCCCCTCAGTGCCCGTCACCCATTCACCCCCACACCCCGCCCTCCTCCCCCTCCACCACCCCTAGTTCGTTTCCCAGAGTTAGGAGTCTTTATGTTCTGATTCCCTTTCTGATATTTCCCACACATTTCTTCTCCCTTCCCTTATATTCCCTTTCACTATTATTCATATTCCCCAAATGAATGAGAACATACACGTTGTCCTTCTCCGATTGACTTACTTCACTCAGCATAATACCCTCCAGTTCCATCCACGTTGAAGCAAATGGCGGGTATTTGTCGTTTCTAATGGCTGAGTAATATTCCATTGTATACATAAACCACATCTTCTTTATCCATTCATCTTTCGATGGGCACCGAGGCTCCTTCCACAGTTTGGCTATTGTGGACATTGCAGCAAGAAACATCGGGGTGCAGGTGCCCCGGCGTTTCATTGCATCTGTATCTTTGTGGTAAATCCCCAACAGTGCAATTGCTGGGTCATAGGGCAGGTCTATTTTTAACTCTTTGAGGAACCTCCACACGGTTTCCAGAGTGGCTGCACCAGTTCACATTCCCACCAACAGTGTAAGAGGGTTCCCTTTTCTCCGCATCCTCTCCAACATTTGTGGTTTCCTGCCTTGTTAATTTTCCCCATTCTCACTGGTGTGAGGTGGTATCTCATTGTGGTTTTGATTTGTATTTCCCTGATGGCAAGTGATGCAGAGCATTTTCTCATGTGCATGTTGGCCATGTCTATGTCTTCCTCTGTGAGATTTCTCTTCATGTCTTTTGCCCATTTCATGATTGGATTGGTTGTTTCTTTGCTGTTGAGTTTAATAAGTTCTTTATAGATTTTGGAAACTAGCCCTTTATCTGATACGTCATTTGCAAATATCTTCTCCCATTCTGTAGGTTGTCTTTTAGTTCTGTTGACTGTATCCTTTGCTGTGCAAAAGCTTCTTATCTTGATGAAGTCCCAATAGTTCATTTTTGCTTTTGTTTCTTTTGCTTTCGTGGATGTATCTTGCAAGAAGTTACTGTGGCCAAGTTCAAAAAGGGTGTTGCCTGTGTTCTCCTCTAGGATTAATTTCTTTGTTAGTCCTTTGTTTGGTCACTGATGTTCAGGGACGTGTGTGTGCCAGGCATTGGGGGTACAGCGGTTCCCTGGGCACGTGACCCCTTACCCCCCAGGAGTCCAGAGCTGGGAAAGCGGGTGAAGTTGCAGCCCGTTCTGCCGCACGCCTGGAAGCTTCGTATGTCCGGGGCTGCATGGCCCCCAAGGCTCCGGTCCTAGGTGTGTGAGTGTGAGAGAGAGATGGGGCGAGGGCGTCGTGATGCAGGTAGAAGGGGGGCAGGCACGGTAGAGCCGGAGTCCCCATCCAGGTGCCCTCCCTCACCCTTGCTCTTTAGGGTGAGTGAAGATGCTAGGAGACTCCAGGGGGAGGGGCAGGGACTAAGAGGTGACGCTCAGACAGTGCTCCATAGGCTAGAGGCAGTCAGCAGCTGTGTCTTGAAGCCACTCCCAAGTTCCTGCTCCCCTGAGCAACTCTTCTGCAGGTCCAGGAACTTTAGTCTTCAAGGAAGCCCCACCCTAGTAACATCCTGTAGGGATGCCCTTTCTGAGAGCCCTCAGAGAATTCTTTGTCTCTTCCACTAATGGTTAGCTCATGGGGCATCTGGTGGGTGCCAAACATACAAGAGACATAGACTAAATACTGGGTGAATGAAGATAGCCGTGACATGACAGGAAGAGGACAGACCAGTGGCTGGATTGGGGCCCTGGCCGCACCTGCAGGCCTTGCCATCACTGGGCAGAAGGGCTTGTGGCTAAGAGGCCACCCACTCCCACTCTGAGGAGCCCCGCTGGTCAGGCTGCTGCTGTGCTGGGGGACGGATCTCTCTCAGGTGCTGGAAGGGGTCCATTGGGTTTGGCTGAGTCCTCAGAGCTCTCCTTGGCATCTGGCAGGTGCTATCTGGTTAAGGTGGCACAGCACACACTGGCCTTGACGATGGCCATGTGATACAGCAAGGACACTGGTGCCTGTGGGACCAGCCAGCATCCAATCAAGTAGGTCCCATGGCCTGGTTGTGCAAATAGCCTGCAAGTATTTGTTCCTCCAGCTGGGACCCAGGCTTCATCCTTCCTCACTCTCATACCTTGTGCCTAGGGCTCTTACCACGGATGGACTGATGCACTCCACGTCTCTAGCGCTGGGCCTTCCTCAGAGCTCAGTAGCTAATTCGGCACTTCCTAGTCCCTGTGTCCAAATCCAAGTGCGTGACTTTTCCTCCCGCACCTGTTGGCCTGCCAGTGAAATGGGCTTCCCTCCATTGTCACCCTCCTCCTCCTCTGCTCCCTTCCCCCTAGCACCCCCCCATACCTTAGTTTAAGTTAGCTGGCTTCACCTTTGGCCTGGCCCTGGTGGGCTGCTCTTCCTAGGGGAGGAGTCTATTTCCCTGCCCCCTGGCAGCTGATCTGGCCATATGATTTGCCTTGCCCAGTGAAATAAGAATAGAAGTGGCAGGAGTGACTCCAGGCAGAAGATTCAAAGCCAGGACCTGGTTCTCTGAGATGGTGGAAGCGTGACAAGATGGATCCGCACCAGCAAACGCTGGCAATGTCCCCGTAGGTGAGCCACTGCCTTTCAGGTTGTTACTGTAGCATAGAGCAGTCTTCCCTGATCCGGGCAGCCTCTGAGCTATTTACCATTTGCTCTGACCCTTCCCCATAGCATTCAGTGCCATCTTTCTAGAAAGGCACCTGGGGAGGTGACTAGACTAACCTGAGACTCCGTTTCCCTACGTGTAATTTGAGGATGCTAGTAGTGTCCACCTTACAGAGAAGTATTCTGAGGACTGAGTGGCCTAAATACTGGTAATTGTCCCCACTGATACTAGAGGTAGTGCTGTCACGATGCCCTGGGTAAGCTGGCCCCCGCCCCACATCTTGCACCATCCTCCTTTGTACGCTGAGTCTGCGTGCTGTCTTTCAGTACCATGCTCCTAGCTCTTGGCTCTCAGGTTGGTCCTAAAATGTGGTATGCATTCACTTCCCCTCATCTGCCTCAGCTCCTCAGGAAAGCCCCAGAGCTGCTGGCTGTCGTGTGGTCCTATAATATGCCCACCACCTCTCCTGTCCTTCGAGGCTATAACCACATTTCTCTTTGTGAGTTAGTGTTTTCTCGCTAGGTGGTAGGCTCCATGAGAGAGGTGACTATCTCTTTTTGGCTCTTGCTGTGTGCTCACCTTCTGACTTGTTACCTCAGTGGTAAGCAGAGGGCCTCCAAAGATGTCCCCGCTCCAATCCCTGGAATCTGTGAATATGTTACGTTACGTGACAAAAGGCACTACACGGGTGTAATTAAGAGTTACAGACCTTAAGATAGGGGGATGATCAGGGATTATCTGGGTGGTCCCAGTGTAATCACACAAGCCCTTAAAAGGAGAGAATTTTCTCCAGCTAGACTCGGTGAGATGCGGCAGAAGGAAAAGTCAGACTTGAAGCAGGAGGAGGACTCAATGTGCCATCATTACTGGCTCTGAAGATAAAGGGGGCCAGGAGCCTCAGTCATACAACCACAAGGAACTGGATTCTGCTAACAACCTTAATGAACTTGGAGGTGGGTTCTTCCCTAGTTGACTTAGAGACGCTTTGACTTTGGCTGTGCAAGAGCCTAAGCGGAAGACTCAGTCACTTGGTGCTGGACTTCTGACCCAAAGAAACTGTGAGATAATAAATCGGTGTTGTTTTAAGCTGCTAAATTTGTGGTAATTTGTTCTAGGAGCAAGAGAAAGGTAATACACTTGGCTTCAATAGGGGCTCGATAATTCTGTGCTGAACAGCCGAATACGTGCACCGGGAGGTGTTGGCAGGCATGGTGGCTGAGTTGCCTGGGAGCTTCACCCCATTCGTCCTCACTGTAGGAATCTCCATTCTGTCTGATTAGAACATTCGCTGCCCCTGGCAACCAGGTATGGCCACAGGAACTCACACAATGTATGGGGTTTGTGGGGAGGCAGCTGCCTTGTTGATGGAGGCACAAGCCTGCCTCCTTCTGCCCCCGCCCTGGAATTTGGACATGACCCTCAGTTGTGCAGCAACTGTCAGGCAGCCATGAGCTGGAAAAACCCAAGCCAAGGAGCTGGGAGTGGCAGCCCACAGGAGCCCAGGGCTCTAACAGCTCTGCCCAGCCCCTTCGGCTGACTTCCAGTTACAATAGAAAAAGAAGCTCCTCGTTCAAAGCACAGCATGTCAGGATCTGTGTCATCCGCGGTCCCAGTGCAAGTCCTGGCTGCTGCAGAGGACTTCCTGAGTGTCACGGTGGCACGGCAGGCGTTCTTACCGCAAGCATCCTTGCTGCAGGTATTTTTGTGGCAAATATTTTTGCCACATAACTGTCTATAAGGCAGTGTTGCCATAGAAGATAAAATCAAGGGGCGCCTGGGTGGCTCAGTGGTTAAGCATCTGCCTTTGGCTCAGGGCCTGATGCCAGGGTCCTGAGATCGAGTCCCACATCAGGCTCCCTGCAGGGAGCATGCTTCTCCCTAGGTCTCTGTCTCCCTCTCTGTGTGTGTTTCTCACGAATAAATAGAATATTTTTTTAAAAAAGGATAAAATCAAGAAGGGGAATTTAATAAAAAGGACTCAATGAAACATGAAATACAGATAAAATTACCCAAACTGAGAAAAACAAAATATTTGAATACATTTGAAACGTGTGGATTCTGTGCAAATAA